TCACAGTACGGTGAGGGGCGTAACATTTCCGTCACATGCTTGAGGTATTCGGCCTATCACAATGCACTGGATAGCTGGCTAATCAGAGCACACCTCTCTTTTCAGACCGATGAGCTTTGTAAAATTCGACGCGTTTCAGAAAGGCAGGGCATAGAAGAGAAACAATAATGTGTTTTTTTAACCTTAAACCGCATTAGCACATTGCATTACACCAAATACACCAAATAATGTTCTTTTTAGCAGCATCATATGACTCCTTTAATTCGTCACCAGTGTCATTACCACAAAAAACGAATACTAACCAAAATAAAAAATTTAAAAAACTCACTGAGGACAAGTAAATAGAATAAGAAACTAATTACAAGCAATAGGACAAAAAAAACTACAAACTACAGTAGAATAAATAAATAATAAATTCTACATACATTGTTTAAAGTAATCAAATTTATAAAAACACTGCATAATCTTCACTGTGTAAATTAAAGGGGTCATCGGATGCCCGGGATGCATCAGAGTTGATATGATTCTTTAGGGTCTTAATGAAAAGTCTATAACATACTTTGGTTAAAATTTGTCAATGGTAACGTAAAAAAACACCCTTTTTACCTCGTCAAAATCAGCTCGGTTTTCAGCAAGCCGTTTTAGTCCATGTTCCTTTAAATGCTAATGAGCTCTGCTGACCCCGCCCCTCTCTTCCGTGGGCTGACCAGCCGTTCTCATGAGACTGTTTACTTTAGCCGCGGAACTTGCTAACTAGCACGTTATTAGGAAAGGCGATTTGCAAAAGATTCATAAAATAACCTTTTACTCACTTCTTCTGTAGGTGAGGCTGGATCACGAATGATTCGCACGAAGATAGATGCATTTAGGCAGATCCCTTCAAAAACAAAGGTAATCCACTGCGTCTTCAGCAGCTCAGATGTCGGGAGTAAATGATGACTGCTATGTTAATTAGTACATCCAACAACAGAATGCCTCAATCGCTTAGGAGACATTCTTGTCTACATCTGCTCCGGTGGTAAAACAATGGAGGACTGATGACAGCTCACTCGGGGCGGGTCTAAGGTAAAACGCTACTGTCAATCAACAATCGTGGTAGGGCCTGGGTCTGTGTGACATCACACAGACAGGCATCTGAGAATGGCTTGATTTGAGAAAGGGGAAAATGATTTAACAAGATTAGAAAATACCCACTGGGTGGATCTTTATCATTATAGGGTGGTTGTGTACACACACTGCCAACACACATTTCAGTTCAAACAAGTTGTAAAAGTGCATGTCACATCCGATGACCCCTTTAAATAGCCTATATATTTCTTCTTATTAAAGTTACAAAAGTGATTTAGTCAAGAGCAGCGAGACATTTTCTCTCTTTTGTTGTTTGCTTAACATAAATGACAGACAGCAGAAATATTATACTGCTGTCACTTTAAGAGCTGCCCGGATCCAATATACTGTTATACATGCGTTTTCTTTCTCAGCTGTTTGCTTTCACTTAAGACCTAAAACACTTTGTTTACAAAGATACCTGCAAAGACGGGCATTTTGACACATACAAGTGTGTGCATTTAACCGTTCAAGGTCTATAAAGCAGCAAAATATCTCTGTTAAATACTTTATACTAGTACTCTGTGAGCACCGTCTTGACGTGCATGCGCACGTAGCGAAATGAGTTCCCTTTTGCTGTTGTGCTGACTGCATTTAAACAGCTTAAAATCACTTGTTTTTAAACTGCAATGCATAAAATCATGCAAATGACAAGTTTCTACTGGTTAATCGTGTCTACCGGTATATCGCCCACCCCTAGTGTAACTAGACTTGTGCCGGTATTCGGTAATGCGATACATCACGGTAATGAATATGCACGATATTGTTATCGTGGGCACTTCTAAATACCGTGAATAATTATATATTACAAATTATTCAGAATTTTTAATGCATTTTAAGAATACTTTTCCCATCAACTGGTTCAAATGCACAACACCACTGTATGCTGTGTGAAAGAGCATGCGCACTCTGAAGTAAACAAGCACGGACAAGAAGCACATGGCGGAACATGTGAGAGACGCTCTGGATGACTGTATGCTGTGTGAAAGAGCATGCGCACTCTGAAGTAAACAAGCACGGACAAGAAGCACATGGCGGAACATGTGAGAGACGCTCTGGAAGAAAGCGCACTTTCACTCTCTGACAGCAGATGGCGCCAAACTGCAGAAGTAATAATAATAATAATAATAATAATAATAATAATTCATTTAAATGCATCCGTTACCCCGGAAACCCTGTAAACAAAGCAGCTGCACTACTTTCTGTTTCTGAATCGTGTTTAAATGATTTAAACAGCCATTCAGATTTGTGTATTTGCTATGATGTTCATCACAGCGCCAAATACTTAAGTATTTAGACTTAATAGGCTATATATTTTAAAACTTTTTTTACATTTTAATCTGGACTACAACATGCCCTAGATATTGTTTGAAAGTGTTTTGATTCTTTATTGTTCGGTCACACTTTACATTAGGGCTTCATTAGTTAACATTAGTTAATTCATTAGTTAACATACACTGCCAATGAAAAATTCTTCTGAACATTCACTAATCTTAGGTATTCCAATATTTAATAACAGGCTGTTAAAATCTAAAGTTGCAACTGTGTTATTTAATGAGCTAACATGAACTAAGACTTGTATTTTTTAAACAAAGATTAATAACTTCTGTAGCAAATGTAGCTATTGCTCATTGTGAATGTTAATGCATTAACTAAGGTTAACTAATGAGGTCTTATTGTAAAGTGATACCTATTGGTCTTTATAGTTCTTTTGCACTTTAATCTGTGTAAAACTTTTAACTTTTCTGTATTGCTTTATTGCATTTAAATGTTCAGTAATACGAAAAAACGTATTAAACCTGTTATACTGTATTATGACAGCCCTTTTTTTTTTTTAAACTAAATTCCAATATCATGATAATACTGTATACCGTGATAAAAGTATTAGCAATTAATCGCAACATGAAAATTTTATACCGGCATATCCCTAAGTGTAACCAAACATAAAATTCACAATAAAACAGTACAATCCAAAAGTTCAATGAAGCAGATGTGAAGAAAGAACTACACATATCATCATATGGACATAGTACAAACAAAATTCAAGTATGACCAAAAACCACCACATTATATACTAAAGTGGGTCACCCGATGAATGGGTTGTTTGCAGACACTTCTGGTGCTACATGACTAGTGAGGTTTTGTTCTGAGTAAATGTCAATGATGTAGAGACAATGGTGTCATCATCTGACCGTTTCAGAAAACACTACAAAATTGTACATTGTTTACCTCTGTGTACATCAAACATTGTGTGGGTGGGTGATGATACAATCAACAGGGCGCTGCGTCACAATTGTGGGATTTCCACCACCATCCATGTCACTCAAACCACAGGCCAAATCACCTCGCCAAACAAGCCAAACCACAACCACAACCACAACCTTAGTGCTCAGCCACCCACACAAACACACATTCCAGAGGGTCGTTTCAGAGTCACGCTGCCAACCATGTGAAATCAGCTAGCTGAGTTTTGACAGTCCAGCGGCAAGAGATTTACTGATGCTGAGATGAGTCAAACAACTGGGGCCACACAGGAAAACACAGAAAAGTGCTAACACTCACACAGACGCGTTTACTGATGCCTACAGTGATATTTGCTCTTTCTAGTCAAGCAAGAACACTACAATACTAAATGGGGGGGGGGGGGGGGGTACTGAGAACATATC